ACAGCCGATCGCAGCTGATCTTAGTTTACATGGGTTATTATTGTAACTTTAAGTAAAAATAATAAAATCGGTTCGTATAATCCTCGTAGCGGTTAAACAGAATGCAATGTTTGTCCGAATCTTTAAGCTATTTTTAGAATCAGTGCGCTGTGCTATTGTCTTGAACACAAGTATACAAGCCTCACAATCCCTGGAACCCTCACAACGCTTGCAACCCCTGCAACCCTTGCAACCCCTACAACCCTTGCAACCCTTGCAACCCTCACAACCCCTGCAACCCTCACAACCCACGCAACCCCTGCAACCCTTACAACCCTTGCAACCCTCGCAACCCTTGCAACCCTCACAACCCTTGCAACCCTCACAAACCCGGTTGCAACCCTTGCAACCCTCACAACCCTTGCAACCCTCACAACCCTTGCAACCCCTGCAACCCCTGCAACCCCTGCAACCCTCGCAACCCTTGCAACCCTCACAACCCTTGCAACCCTCACAAACCCGGTTGCAACCCTTGCAACCCTCACAACCCTTGCAACCCCTGCAACCCCTGCAACCCCTGCAACCCTTGCAACCCTTGCAACCCTTGCAACCCCTGCAACCCCTGCAACCCCCTGCAACCCTCACAACCCCTGCAACCCTCACAACCCTTGCAACCCTTGCAACCCCTGCAACCCTCACAACCCCTGCAACCCTCACAACCCCTGCAACCCTCACAACCCCTGCAACCCCTGCAACCCTCACAACCCCTGCATCCCTTACAACCCTTTCAACCTCTGTCACCCACACCACTCACCCCCCTGTTGTATTGAACTGTTACTGTCACAACCTCACTAACCCTCTTACCATCGCAAACCCAGTTACCCTCAGAACCCCTCTAATGTTTGGCATATGTAAAGAGCTCTCTCAATCGTGTTGTCATTAACGTGGGTTTCGGTGTGGTCATATGTTTCGATTTATTTTAGTGAGAGCCCTTCTTCGGTTGATAGTTCGCTATGAGGATTGCGGGGAATATTGTTGAAGTTAATGTTTGAAATTATTAATTTGATTGAGGTGACGCTGGTTGTTTTTTTTCTTCGAATCTCTCAGCCAATCACATCACTCGTTCAGACGGTGGTGTATGACTCTGTTGTTCAGATTATGATAATTAAAATGAATTAATTGGTGATTGATTAATAAGCTTTGACTCACAGATAGCCCGATTTGTTGATCCCAGAGTTTCTTGATCTTCGGCTCTTGAACTCTTGCCCACACGGAACTAGCGCCGGCGGAAGATTGTGTTTACAACATGGCTGAGAAATTCAGTATTGTAGACTATGTAGTCTTCAGCATCATGCTTCTTATTTCTGCAGCCATCGGGATTTGGTACGGTTGCGGTCCAGGAGGGAAGCAAACGACTACCAAAGAATACCTTCTTGCAGACCGTAAGATGCGAATTATACCAGTGGCTATCTCTCTGCTTGTCTCGTATCTCTCTGCTATCACGCTACTCGGAGTACCATCTGAGATTTACACGTACGGAGCACAGTACTACGTTATTATCGTCTCGTACTTCATTATCTGCGGAGTTGTAGCCGTTATTTTTGTTCCGATGTTCAGAAGGATTAACATTACATGTGCAAATGAGGTGAGGGTAAGCTTTTTGTCCCATAATTAGACTCATAAACCTTTTTACATCAATGTGTAGTTAAGGTAAGGTTAGGCGAAAGAAATCACACTTTAAAAGACGCGAAGTTCTTGCCCTAAATCATAAACAAACATTCATAATTTATTCAACTTATTAGCCTCATGTTTTTGTTATTTATATATTATTGATCCCTTTTTATCAAACATTCAAACCACTTCGGAAGATTGTTTGGCCTTTTTAGAACCAATATATTTTTAAAGAACGTGATATTTTAATTCGATTTTTGTACTAAAAAAGTCCACAACCTGTGAAACTAATAGTTCAAATTTGCATGTAAAGAAATAGCAAAATAAATACACGAGAAAGTTCTGCAGTTGTGTTTATGAAAGCCATTTTAGCTCCTAATCGCAGAATAACAAAGTTTTTCAGTGACTATGAAGTCCAAAGTTTGCCGGATATATTTTTCTTTGCAAGGCTGGCTTTCTTAAAAAAATCCAGTAATCAAACTGCCGTGGTCTCATGATCAGCCCTAGCTAGATCTTAAGAGTTCCGTTTCTATTCTTATCTTGTTTTTATATGTCCAGCTGTGTGCGACTCTGACAGATGTCCTTGTTTAATTCTCCATCGCTCATACACGAGGTTTATATTATCGTATTTTACACCTCATTGATATTCCATGCTCTATTCATTCACGTGTGATCCATCAATACGTGATTTCTTAACGTGAAGACGTCGTAAGCTGTTAAGATTTAATTTAGAAAGAGAAACGTATTTTTATTTTTTTGATTTCAATTATATTTGCATCGAGAAAAAGTGTTTCTACGAACGCGTTTAGTACCTACAAGGTCGGCTTTGGCGGTGTAAAATGTAGTTAGATAAGCTTAGCTAGCAAGGTTGGATAGCCATAACGGTAGCCTGCGTGCAGCCGACCTCTGACTGACTGAGAGAAAAGTTTGGCTGCACGCAGGCTACCATAACGGCGGGAAATTAAAGAATACATATTGCTGTCCTGTGGGGTTTTTGTGAAAGCGAAGGGCGGAGCCAATCTGTTTGTTTCTGGGCTACCACAGCCTGATGCAAGCAGGACATAATGAAACCTTTCGCATTAAAAGCCTCTCGACTTGACAAGCTTACGAGCTGAATTCAATCCCATAAGGGAACAAATAGATGCTGTACAAAATTAAAGCTGCGTGATAGAGATTTACCGAACAAATGAATAACAAGGTGTTTAAAAAGTGTCAAAAATGTGTCATTGGATACCTGTGGCGACCGTTGTCCATTTTCACTAGATCACGTGATCACGAGTTTCTAAAGTGTACCACGTGGTGATATCGTGATGTAGCGTGATGTAGCATCGGTATTAACGGATATTAATCAGTACTTACGCCTGATAACCAGTGTACCTACTCTGTATCACGTTGTGACATCACGTGATGTGTAGTACTCTGATTGGCTGTTACATTAATTTATGTACCTATTACTATTCCCAGTACCTTGAGCGTCGCTACTCTGTTGGGGTCAGGATGGTCGGCTGCATTTTCTTCATGCTTGAATATGTAAGTACTGTTCATACAGCTTCCAACTTTCATTGAAGTTTGCATGACGATACACGAGATCAGGGAACGAGCATTTGCATCATAATATGCAACAAAAAAGTCGATTCACGCAATGAAATCTCACCAGAAGGACCGTTAAAGTGCAAATGAACCCTTCGACAATACTTTCAATACTGATCATACATGAAGTAAATAGTTGAATGGTAAAATATTTCTTGATTTGAGTGATGCGTTTCTAA